GTGAACGGCACCTGCGAGTGCCAGGAGGGCTTCGCCGGCGAGGACTGCGCAAGGCTGCACTGCCCCAACGCCTGCAGCGGCCGGGGACTCTGCCGGGATGGGCTCTGCGTCTGCGAGGAAGGCTTTGACGGGCAGGACTGCTCAGAAGGTAGGGGTGGGGGGGATGCGTGAGGAAAGCCAGATTTGAGTGCACAAGTAAGGGTTTCAAGGTGCCCAGAGTCCCGTAGGATTACCGTGGAGCCTGGGAGAAATCCGTACCCAGCAGCTTAGGACACACTGAGGCCCCACTGTGTGGCTACCTCCCTGTTATCCCTGTCCCCAAAAACACCATGAACAAAAGTCTAGGAGGTGAGTAAAAAGCCAGTGAGGTTCATCCCGACATGGGGGCTAAACCCTTAGTGCAACAGGTTCTCCTGAGCCTTTACCTTGCTATAGCTGTTCAGACAACCACAGATGGCACATAACCCCAGCCCCAGCCCATGTCCCAGCAGCAGACCTACACAGCCTCCCACAGCAGTGGAAGAAAAAGCCACGCACATGCTGACACTCTCTGTACCTCCGCCCTTCCCACCAGTGTCTCCTCCTGAAAACCTGCGGGTGACGGGGATCAGCGACAGCTCCATCGAGCTGGTTTGGGACAGCCCCGGGGCAGCCACCGAGTACGTGGTCTCGTACCAGCCCGCGGTGCCAGGGGGCACCCAGCTCCAGCAGAGGGTGCCTGGGGACTGGAGCAGCATCACCATCGCGGATCTGGAGCCAGGTGTTGCCTACAATGTCAGCATCTATGCAGTCATCAGTGACATCTTCAGCATCCCCGTTACCTCCAAGGTGATGACTAGTAAGTATCCTACCACACTTGTCCTTTGTTACCCAACTATCCTGAGGGGATGCTCAAGCTGGCTCGCTTTTTCCATAAAAACCTTCTAGCAGCAAAAACTTGAGCCTTAAAAATAAATATTTGTTACATTACATTTTTTTCCTCAGAGAAAATACTACAATATAATATGGAAGTCTCAGGTTCTCCTCCCACTCCTGAATGGATAATTTCCCCATGATGACTCCCCATGATACAGGGAATAGTGCAGCAAGAGGAGATGCTGCTGTGCATCAGGAGAAACACAGCCTTGACCAGGACTGTGATGCACAGAGGAAAACAGGAGTATCAAGCTGTAATGCCAGCTTCCAGAAGGGTTTCTTGGAGACTAAGAATACAGAGGGCAGGGGAAAAAACAGAAACTATCCAGACACCCCTCTGCAACCGCATCATTCACACTGTTCACACAATGGTGCAGTGGGATGCTTCAGTGTCCATAGGTCCAGGCATGTCCTTTTTCTTCCAACCCACATGGAGCAGGGAAAAAGGAATTTTGCTAACAGTTACCAGAAGTTTCCCTGGTTTTGTTGCCCAGATAACAAAATACCCACAGGGAGCAGGGTGGGTACCACAGCATGTGCACACCCACCCTGCTCTGCTCACCACCCCCTGCTCCCTTCCAGACCTCGCCACACCGCAGGGGCTGAAGTTCAAGACCATCACAGAGACGACAGCAGAAGTGCAGTGGGAGCCCTTCTCCTTCCCCTTCGACGGCTGGGAGATCAGTTTCATTCCCAAGGTACTGCTGCCACACCCACGGCATTGCTGAAAGCACTCAGTGAGTGGATCCTAAATCAGTTTCCAATTACCCCCTTCCCAAAATACTCAGCCTGTGTTTGCCATTTGTGTGCTGCACATCAGACTCCCTAGACACTGCCAGCCTGCAGTTCCCCATAAGTTTTTGTGTCAAGACATACAATGTCCTCAAAGAAATGTCCCCCAAAAAAATCCAGTGATGGGGGAAAAAAAAGCTTCCATGCCTCTTGTTGTTTCACTCTCTTTTTTCTTTCCATCTCCTCTGCAATGACTCTTTCTCTTCCTCTTCATTGTCCTGCTCTCTACACTAAGGTCCCCAAAGCAGCCTGGATCAAAGCAAGCAGCTGCTGGCTCTCAGACAACAACCTTCAACATCCCCGAGTCACACGCACACTTAATTCCTGCCATGGAATTTTAATCGCAGTGACGAGCAGGTAGAAATCATGCCAGAAAAGATGAAAGGATAAAAATGTTGCCCTAAATACCCCGTGTTTTCTGTGCACAGCAACAAAAATTGTACATCAAGTATTTAATCTATATTCATAATTTCTACACCATTTAGCCATAAGTATAGCTTCAATTGTATTTGGAGCCTCTTTACGAGAATATTCAAGCCCCAGCAGTAAAAGAAATGCTGATTAAGGGCTCAATTATGATGTTTTCACTTGTACAAAACCTTCACTGGAATCAAAGGCAGCTCTGGGCAGTGGAGAGCTGCAAAATTTGGCCCAAAAGTTTTAAATACTCTTAACTATAAAATATCATTGCACAGCACAAAGCAAGGGCCCAGTTGCCTTAAATAATCTCTCATTTCCAAAGAGTTGCTAGAAGATTCTTAATGCAATGTTGGCTACATCCACGTGCAAATTGTGTCAGAAGCTGAAGCTCAGGTAATGCAGGTATAGATACTGGGATAATTTTCAGTCACCATCAGGTGATCCTTCAGGATTAAATCTGAAAAATGTAGCAATATCAGAGAAAAGCTTTTGGTAGGGAAAAATAGCTCTTCCAAACATTTCACTATTACTCAGGAATTAAGGTGAACAGCATCCCCCTGAAGCAGATCAATGTAAACCATTGGTTCTCTTTTCTGTTTTTAAGCTTAAGCTTAAAAATACGTGGAAACATTTTGGGATTTAAAGGCAGATAAGATGCAAAAGGATGGGTTGTTCCTGGATGCAGGGTCTTGGGAAGGGAAGGGATGTAGCTCACTGGGCTTAAAAGTTCTGAAATCTATGAGTCAGGACATAAAATCACAGTCATGCTCCTGCCCATCAGCTGCCAAAATTGTCCTCTCTTGAGTCTCTATCATCAGCATTTCCCCTAAAATTAGGCAGAGGGTGCTGTGTCCTTTACTGCCCCACAATCAAAGCTTGCTTGGGTACATGCCAAAACATTGCCACACCTCAACCAAACCCAAACCCATTCCCAAAGGCTAAAAACAAGAGTTATAACTGCAGCATCACAACTGTGGTGAGAAAAATTGACCTCCCTGTCTTCCCAAAAACTGGGTGAGAAGATGCTGATTTGGACCTCAGCAGCCCAATGAGGATGCTTGCAGCTTCCTGCAGAGCTCTTTCCACCCTCCTTCCATGGTGCCCACGATGCTCTCACCCCCACAAAACCCGGGTCAGGCAAGATTGCCCATCTGCTGCCTGCAGTGGGGATGGGGTGGGGAAAAGACAAAGAGAAGACAGATTTAGCAAAGAATATTAGGAAAGGTAAAATGGCAATTGATAGCTAAAATGGAAGATTTCCTGTTTAATGAGAAAAGAGATGAATATGAATTGAGAGTTATGTGCAAAGATTTGTTTAGCATGTTAATAGCGAAGACAGCAGCAAGAAAAGATCCTTTGTCCAAACACTGGCAGGAAAGGTGACATGTGCAGTTGTTTAAAGCCTTACAGTTTTTCAGGGCAAAACCACAAGGCGTAAATGAGTGTACTAAAGATGGTTAAAAAGGAGGGGAAGGCAAAATAAAGACCTCACAGCTTCATACCTATACATCAACAACAAAAGGCTCCTGGCACCTGAAGAGCAGGAAAACAAGTCTAGCCAAGGCTTTAGTGTAATCATCTTCCCTTTTCTGGAGAACAGCAGAGGCACAAATGGCAAAATACAGAAGCTGGGGAGGGAGGAGGAATGGGGAGGATTTTGCAGCCCAACAACATGAGTGCTCCATGCTTGGTGGGTGACTTGATCCCAGGTGTCTCCCTCCATGGTGGGGTGTGACAGTGTGATTTGAGGATGCAGAGCGGGCTGTGGAAGGATGGGGGGAACCTCCTCTCCATGCATCAGTGTCCCCCAAAACACCAGTTGGTGGGTGAGGGTTAATGCTTATTTCATTCCCTGACAGAATAATGAGGGTGGTGTGATTGCCCAGCTCCCCAGCACTGTCACCACCTTCAACCAGACGGGGCTGAAGCCAGGAGAAGAGTACACTGTCACCATTGTGGCCCTGAAGGAACAAGCCAGAAGCCCTCCCACCTCTGACAGCGTCTCAACCCGTGAGTGAGCCTGACCTGGGGGCAGCACAACAGTGCCCAGGGCTTGGTCCCAAAAATAAAGTTCCATCAGCAAGAGCAGCTGGCATCACATGGGCAGGGATGAAACTGGCGGCACCCAAGTGCCCAAACATTGCAGCAACAGCTTCTTCATGGAGTATTTTGTCCCTCTCTCTCCTAAATGGCCATAAGTGCAGAAACCCTGGTGAGGTTAATGGGGTTGGGAGTGAAGTGCTTTTATTGTATATCTGGATAAATTATTCTTCTCTGCTAATCTCACATTTTGGAGGCTGGATGCCATCAAGAAATGTATCTACAAATCTATCACTTACTCATATATAACAGATTAAAACTCCCACCTGCTTTTATGTCACCAAATGCCCTTGTTAGCGTTCAGGAACACACATAACCACGAATGGTTATATGAAGGTGCTTTATTTAAAGAGCTCTGGGTGTCAGGGGTACACATACCCAAATCTGACCCGACTTGGGTTTCGAGTTGAACATATTTTATACTCCATCATTATGCAACTTACATATT